AGTTGATAGTCTTAATACAGCACTGAGTTTATGTTACCTTCCAAATTTTCCAGTTCTCACCAGAGTTGATATGATAGAGAATGAGAACCTTAAATAGTCTGGCCGATAGCATATTTGTTTTCCTCCCTCAAGCTTGAGAATGGGTCTGGAGGGAAGGCTAGACCAGGGGAGCTACAGCAGAGGCGTATGGGATCCAGCTGATTTGGGCTCCAGATTCCTTTTTCTCGGCTGCATGGATATTTCAAGTGAACCTGTATTGGTTCTCACTCACCTGGGTTGTATTCTCAAAATCTCCACTTCCTGGTGGGTGGAGTTGGGCCTCCAGGCCCTGAGCCTCCTCCCCAAAGCACACAGCCCATTCAGCTGCCATATCTGCTGCTTAATTTTATCAGAAACATGCAGTAGCAGCAGCAGCAGGTGAAAGTCTCTGGAAGGAACATTCTGACACAAGGGCAGTCTGAATTAATGAGGAGTGACACAGGAACTCACCTCAAGGATCCTAAGTTTCTATCTCTCCAAAAGCTCAACCTTCTCTTAAGACAGCTGAGTGCTCCTTGAGGGCGATGGGCTGCTGGTCACATTCACTCATGCACTACAGACTTCCTGCAGGTCCAGTCCCGGCCATTACCGTGATTCTGTCTTATTTGTGAGAATGCCCAGGCTGTTCACTTTTCCTTCCAGACACTTCCTGGTGTTAGTTTACCCCTGCTGAACAAACACGTGAATGAGGTGGGTTTTCCTAAGATAATTAGTCCTAGTCATTACAGGGTGAATCCAAAGAGAATTTGGGCTGGTGCATTCCTATACACTTTGAAAGACCCCTACCATAATCGTGCCAGGTGAATCTTCAATTTTCTAAGACAAATGGTGAATCTTAAGGGGAGTATTTTATCCTCTTGTGAGGAAAAGTACTTTAAAATGTGCAAAACTGAGGAATCAGAGCTTAAGGAAGAAATCAGACCTCATTCTGGCCAAACTTTAAAGGATGATATGGTCACTAACTATGGTTGTTGCTTGCTATCCCACATGATGTATTTAACCCAAAGTTCTTATAAATATTGGTGATCGTGTATGGGAACTTGGCCTTCATGGCAGAAATTGATTACTCAGCAAGTACCCTAATTCAAGAAAAAATAGTGGTCCCAGCCTCCACTGGATCAAAAAAAAAAATCTGGTCCTGAACAGTTAAACATCATTCTTTCCATGCTTTTATAGAATATAAGTTAATCTTTAAGCTCTGCTTCTGATGTTGCTCTCCTTTATATAAAATGATTCTGAATCATTAGTGTGATTAAGAAAATACTGAGACCTTTTTTTTTTTTTGTATTCGCATATGACACCAAAGCTGCAAAATAGAAACTAAGCATGGTAATAATGCTGGTCCAAAGGTGGCTAGATATAAACCCTATCTTCTGGGCCTGCTGCCAGGAGGAGAGCTAGCTGCTTGATGGGAGCATGATATGCTTCCTCTAAAACCTCCTTATTTGGGGGTTCTCTCCAGAGACAGAAAAGGAAACCCATGGCAGGCATTAGCCTTGGAAAGCAGCACCAGCTGGTTTCTCATGCCAGTGAAAAGCACACAGGACAGGCGCTTCCTGTCCCTTCACATCTCTGGCACACCAGCAGTCACCCTGGGTTGTACCCAAATAAGGGGCAGCCAAGACAGCAAGGTGAAGCCACAAGGCCAGAGAGGCACCTGGCAGATGGTAACTCCCTCCTACGTTTCACTTCACTGACTCAGCCAAGGCTTAGTTTCTGTTTTGCAGCCTTATGGAAATTTAGCTGGTCAGATCATTTGAAGTATGTAATCACCTGACATGCTAAGTGTCTGTGAGTGCCAGAGACACAGGATGGCATCTGACCAAACCCTGCCCTTGTCTAGGAAACACGCTGGAGAAGAAAGGTGGCAAGGAGTTTGTGGAAGCTGTTCTGGAACTCCGGAAAAAGAACGGGCCCTTGGAAGTAGCTGGAGGTGAGATGGGGAAGCCACTGTGCTCACCTGGGTGTGGCAAATGCAGAGTTAGAGGAACCCTTTTAGGAAGGAGCTGAGAATCCAGAAGGGTGTGGCAGTGCAGACATGGCTCTGCAGGGGAGGCAGAGGACAACCGTTAGCTTTACAGCCTGGAACTTTATCACCTGCTCATTGTCGGGGGGTTAAAGCTACTGAAAACCACCTTTGCAATTTTGTTTTATTACTTCCAATAGCTGCTATATGTTTGGCATCTAGACCACAAATTTTGAGGAATTACAGAAGCCGAGTTTGGCAAACCGGGCGATGAGAATTATAGATAGTGATAGTGAACCATCTGCAAAACTGCTGGTAAGAGAAGCGAACTAATAATCTTCATTCAGCTGTCTGTATTTTTAGTGTGAAGCATGCAAATACACATTTTTCATTTGCCAGTTACACCTTCCTGGTATAAGGAGGAAGAAAACGACCTGGCATCTGATGTGGGGAGGATTATTGCTAAGACCTGGAGACAGGGCACTTCTTACTCACAGCTGCAGGCCTGAATTTTGGAATTTAGGTGGTCAGTAGGGCAGGGCAGAGGGCCTCCTGAGGGTCTGAGAGTCTGTACAGCAGGGAAGGTCCGGCCCCACCATCTGTGTGAGGACAGGCCACCCCCTTCCTCACTTGGTGTTCCAGTTTTCTCTTCTTACTATGTGGTCCCTGATGCCCATTCTGTCTTTCAAATTCTGTCTGTTTTTAAAACAGATTTTAACTTAAATGTAAACATCAATAATAATGAGGTAACATCTGCACAAACCCATCAGATTTTGCCCCTCTTTCCCCAGTGACTACACATGGCCCCCATCCCAGGCTAGTCTCAGGGCCCAGTAGGAATAGGGCATGGCATTCTCTCAGCTGATGTGTGCCTTTGACCTCTGGTCTACTGGCAAAGGATATGCCATGTAGGCACTGATTATAATAAAGTTCCTGCAGACAGTTCCACCACAGTCCCACATTGTACAAGGGAGAGCATACACAGCCTTTCCCACCCAAGCGGGGGCTGCTGGCCTTGCTTCCGCCACCGTCTGCACCAGCCCGCAGGTCCCTTCCCTCAGTGTTCCAGTTTAAGCCTGGATGAGACCCTCACACGTGTGCAGTCTGATGGGAGGTGGCCCAGTACAGCTACACACCAAACTTCTGGTGAAGCCTGAGCCACAGTGGATGCCAGCCCATTAGATTAGCATGGCACAAGACATTTTTTGCTTGATTTAATAACACATTTTGTTCTTTATTTTAAGAGCTATTTTAGAAAATGTTTTAATATACTTTAAAAAGTATAAAGAGAATAAAACATGCCCCTGCTCCACTGCTCAAAGATAATCACTGTTAATATGTTTCTTTCCAGTCTTTTTTCATTCACAGTTTAGCAGTGACTTTTTGTGTGGACCAACCAGTGAATTAAACCCCCCATCTCGGTTCTATACACCAGCACTTCAGACCAGAGTTCTCAAAGCCAAGACTCAAACTCAGACCCCGATACTCTTAGTTCAGAGCTGTTTCTCCTGCACCACGAGATGCTACCCACAAATCACTCCTCCCCCAGTATTGACTAGTGACACAACCATAACAACCCATGTTCCTTGGATGGTGCTGACAGGTGTTCCTCAAAAAATGGGTTTCAGAAACATCCAACCAAACAAGAGTTTGGGTGTCCTGCTGTAGCGGTGGTGTTGTAGACATACAACATGCAGTGCTCACCAAGCCCGTTGGCCCCAGAACCACCTCCTTTGCAGAGCATCCTATGGACAGGGAATCTGGAACATGCTCTGGGAGACAGGTGGACTTGTCATATTTCCTGTTATGTAGTAGACCCAAGGCCTATGCATTAGATCTGACAAGGGAGAGGTGGTCCCCCTATGGAGATGTGTAGCTGGAAGAGAGCTCCTCTTCCAAGAAAAGAAACTAGTTCCATCCTAAAAATCCATTCTAATTCGGCCACAGTGAACAGATCAGGCAGTCAAACAGTGAGGCCGCCCTCAGCAGAGGTGCGGCCAGGTTGCTCAGCCACTCATTTAAAGGGGTTGCTTTCCTAGTAGGCTTGTCCTGAATTGGGCCTAGGAGATTAAGAGATACGTCCTAGTTATCTGCACATGAATTCACATGAGGAGAGGTGGTTGGAGACCCAAAAAGGCAATTATTTTAAGGCAGTAAACATTCAGACACATTCAATCAAGTGAGATGGGCACAGCTCTGCCTTCCAGGAGCACCCTGGAGGGGGAGCTCATTGCAATCATGGCTAAAATTCCTGGTGGTGATGCACCCTAATTGCAACTTTCCAAGGGTGGGTTGTGGCTTGGCTGCCCAGAGAGAGGAGACTAAATGGTAAGCATTTCCCAGCTCCTGCTTACATTAGAATCACTACATGGCAGGCAGATGCGTTCCTCCTCGGACAAGGGCCCTCAGAGGGCACAGGAAAACACACTGGTAGGAGAATGGGTCTGTGTTTTCACCTTCTGACAGGTACTTTGCACAGGAATATATGCACTGTTTCTGTCTTGTTCCTTCTAGCTGCTGTCAGTGCAGGCCATGGCCTGCCCGCCAAGTTTGTGATCCACTGTAACAGCCCAGTCTGGGGTGCAGACAAGTGTGAGGAACTTCTGGAAAAGACAGTGAAAAACTGCTTGGCCCTGGCTGATGATAAGAAGCTGAAATCCATTGCATTTCCATCCATTGGCAGCGGCAGGTAAGGAACACGCTTGTCACCATGGTAGTCATGAGTGTACTTCTCTGTGTACATGGCCTCCGGGTCTGGTGCTCTCACTCTGTGCAAGGCTGCTGAGGTCACCTTCAATCACTTGCCTTAGTCAAGGAGACCAGAGCACGAAAGAGGGGAGAACACAAATGTCAAACAGTGGTGAGGGGCAATTGAAGAGAGAAAGACACGAGCCCAAGGACAATATAAAGCTTCAATTGTGACAGCAAATGTCATTACAGAAGGGGACCTCAGTGTGCACTGGGACCACAGAGACAGCGCCTCAGTGAATGAGGTTTGACAGGCACTGAGACTTAGATGGGTGGAGAGGACAAGCAGGTGCCAGTGCAGGGGTTTTAGTTAAGAGAGTGACCTTCCCAGCGTGAGCCTGCAGCTGTGTTCCAGTTCTGCGTCCCCCAAGCATCCTTCACTTCGAGAAACCTGCTTGCTCTAGTCTGTCTCACTGTATTGCTGCCCTGGGTAATTCTGATGGCCTGCTCATGAGGGAACTGAATGGAGAATTATGTGATAACAAACAGGGCTGGGCCCTGCCCCACCTCCCATCCCTGAAATATCCCCTGAGTAGCCTCCCCAGGGCTTTCAGGAGCAGAACGATTGCCCTGAGGCAGATGCACAACTCAGAGGCCCCACTGGAGGAGTGTAGTCCGCTACAGCTGATGATGCAGGCAGGTCTCTGATTGTGCACCCCCAGTGCCAGCAATTAGTCTGTCAGCTGCCTGCCTATCAGAGCAGCACTGCACTCTGGCTTGAGGGTCAGGCCCTGAGTAGAGTCCTGGCTTGGCCACTGACAAACTGAAGGATGGCACATAAATTAATCCCCACTCTGGAAAATGCGTGTAATGATCCCCCTGTGCCATGATGCAGACACATGGGCCTGTCAGGCAGCACCACCTCTGAGAAAGTCCCAGCACCCATCACCCATCACATTACCAGTATCCTTCCTGCCGAGGGTCTAAGGCTCAGGCCTCTGGAGGGCTCGGGATCTTGTTGGGCAGTGAAGCCAAGGGAAACTGGACTTTTGAGGCTGCAGCTGTTAGAGTCTTGGGCCCACAATCTGGGGTTCTATAGTGGCATGTGGCTTGGTTTGGACAAAGTATCTGCCACTGCTCCTGGAGCTTCCCACCACTGTTTGTGAGCCTTCTGGGGTCTCTACCCATCAATACATCCCATGACCCCAGAGGCTACGCTGCCATCCTGGGCCCAAGCGACAGTCCACAGAACCACACCTTGTTATTTATAGAAAGCTGCTTTTTTCAAAGCACTTCCTTCCAAACTCATGAGGAGGATGAAGAGTGGATTTTACTATTTTCAGCCTGGGCAGGCCTCATAATTCTGTTTCCCCCAACACCACCATCACTGAGGTCCCATGCCTCAAGTGACAGTGACAGAACCAGCACTGGAGGAGCTTCCTGTCACATCACTCGGACAGTGTACCCAGCAGAAGGCCTATTCCCCAGGGCTCTCTGTGGCCAAAGAGGTCACTTGTGATTAGCAGGACCTACAAGAGGATCTGAGCACGGGGAAAGATCTCTGGTTATGCCTGCCCCTTCTCTTTTGGAGCCTCTATCACGGCCTACCTCCAGCAAGGGCAAAATGGTACAGCAAGCATTTCCCCAGCAATCCCTCTCGGTTTTGTGAGCTGTGAGCCTCCTGGACCAGAGGCTCCTTGGAGTGAGGTCCCTTAGTCCTCTGAGCCGTTCAAGGAGGCTCTCTTCTCAGGCCCAATGGCCAAAGGAAGCTGGAGCAGCAAAACCACCACGTTCCCGGTCCCCGCAGTGTGTGTACCACATCCCTGCAGTGTGTATTTGTTTGGGGGAGAAGGGATGCTGATCAGAAAACAAGTGAAAGCACATGCCGGTGCCCACACCCTCGTGCATACCGCATGCACACCCAGCTCCACAGTCTCTGAGCTCAAGTCATTGCCAAAGGCAGGACGACCACAAGCACCCAGACTCCTGATGACATATGTGGTGTTTCGGATTGCCCTGTACATTTTCAGTCACTACTTCTTCATTCTAGTCTCTCTTGCCAAGAGCATATGTGAATCTTCATTCTTAAAGTCAACACCATTTAAATGCATGTTGAAAGCAAAAGCTAACAGAGATAGAGTATCTAAAAGCCCTTTCATTTTGTTCTAAGAGCACCTGGCAAAGATGAGCATCCTTCATGAGGTGGTCAACAAGTAGCCATACTTCATGCTTCTCCCATCTCCCATAAAAAGTCTGTTCTTTGGCACTGTGCTGTGTGACTGTTGGTAAATGAATCAACCTATCTGTCCCTTGCCTGCTTTATCAGCAAGCAAGGTTTTAGGGACTGCCCTTCCTCACAGATGGTTCTGAGGCTCAGTTAATTAGTGCTTCGTACACTTTGATCTACTCTGATGAAAGGTGCTTCCGAAGAGAGAGGCAATAGGAGTCTTTATTGGAGGTAATAATTTCACGCCCTTTCATATGGCTATTGCAAAATTCTAAATTGAAGCATAAAAGTAATTCCCATAAAAGAGCATCTGTTATTACAAACTTATTTACATTTTTCATGGAGTGAAAAGTTTTAAAAAATAATCAATTGAAAGCTTTTAAGAGGTGGAATGGCCAAAGGCAGCACATGTGCACTGCTACCTGGCCACATCTGCCAGGCAGACCTCACCCCACAGCACCATGTAAACAGCTGCCCTCTCTTTCATGAGTAAAACATGGGATTACTCCAGAGCTGGCCAGTAAATCACAGTGAGTTTTAGGAGGGGAAATAAAACAGCTTGTTTGTGACATTCGGTGTCTCCAGCATAGAAGTCATGTTGGAATTAAAACAGTGTCAGTGCAGACATGCTGGTGAAGAGCGTGGGATCACTTTCCCTCAGCTGGGGCCTGGCATCTTGGGCATGTGGGAGGATGACCGCAGCCCACCTATATGGCCACTTGCTCCCTCCAGCCCGCAGTGTAACCTGGCCTTGGGAAACCACCTCTGGCATCTGGACATCCTGTCCTTGGCCATTCCAGTCACAATATTTATGGACACTCCCACTCCCTTGGCTCTGTTTGACATTAGGGGGTGACCCCTTTCTGGAGGGGCAGTACATTGAGAATAGCTAGTTTGGGATTTTGATTAAACTTTCCTTAGATTTATGAGCTTCAAAGGAAAACTGATTTTTTGGGGTTTTTTTTTCAATCTACCATTTATGGTGTTTTTTGAGCCCCAACCCTATGGTAAACCCTTTATCCGCATTATCTCACAGTAACCCAGAGGTGAGCATTGTTATTAATTCCATTCAAAGGCAAAGAAGCCAAAGTTTGGAGGGGTTAAGTCACTTACTTGAGGTCACACAGCTTGTACTTGGCAGAGCCAGAATTTGATTGGAGGCCCTTCAGAGCTTATGACATTAGGCATATGGAACTCATGTCTCCGTTGGTCAGACAGGTTTCTGCTCCCACCTCTTCTCATCTTGTCAGAGGGCATGTCCTTGCTTGTGCACTCTCTGTGTGTGTTGATTTCTACAGGGAACCCTGGAAACACCACCTTAGAATTCCCTAACCTGCCCAGGCACAGCCATCGGCCTCCCTGTGCCCTAGCCATTGGCCTTAGAGGAAAAATAGAAGGATGGAAACAAACTCAAAGACCTTTGAATTGGGGAGAACTATTTATTAACCCACAGCATGTGAGCCTTGGAGCAAAAGAAGATGAGAGGCACTTCAGGCTGCTGTAGGCCAAAGCTGGGGGGGCAAGAGTGGGTCACCTTCCCTTCTGAGTCTTCTCCCTCCTGAGCACTGTGCCTCTCAGCACAGAGTCCTGATGATTTGGTCTTTCCCTATGGATTGAGTAGCCTTTGACTGGGGCAACATCAAACAGTCAGGCAACTACTCAAAAGCTGGATAGAACATGGAGGAACGGTAAGGGCCCAGAAGCAGCTAGCAGCACGGGGAGGGGGACTAATCCTAACAGAAGAGTGTCGGCAGACATTTTCCCCACATCACTCAAGCTTCCAAGACATCCAGCCCTAACCTGTCACCTCAAAGCCAACTTGGGTCATTAGACTGGCGACTGGCCCAGCAAGAAAAAAACCAGAGTCCACCTGGAATCCACCTCTACTCCTACCCAGCTGTGAAGGGAGAGCTCCCAGCCCATCTCCTCCAGAAAATCTACCTGGACTCCCTCCATCCCCAGGATATACCCTTTCCCCGTGTGACTCTCTGGGGTCCCTAATTGGTCTGCTCCTCACAGCTCTAATCCTGGGCTCCCTGCATGCCTGACTGGCCCATTGCTAGAGGGCAGTACACCAGGAGCAGGGGCAATTAGGGAGGCGCCACACTGGAGAGGATCTGCAGAACTGGAGGAACTCAAGCCTTTTCTGGGTTGCAGCCCTTGTGAACCCAGAATCTCTGCATTTCCAGGTGGGACGGGGGGACAAGCATCCAATGTGTATACCCGGCGTCACTGAGCAGGCTAACCCAGGAGGGCACTGGACTGAGAGGGCCCTTGAGGTCCCCTTGTCCTAAACTAGGGAAACTAGGACCCTTGGGAAAAGCTGTTCCAGACACAGCTGGAGAGACTGCAGAAGAAATGCAGATGTCTCTTTAGTCTGCTCAAGAAAAGGTCCCAGCCCTGCCAGTGAGGGGAACTTAAGGAACATGCTGTAAACACACCCACAGGACAGGTTGGGGGCTCCAGAGGGTGGGGACCAGTGGTGGCCGCAGCAGCATCCTTATTCCCACCTGTCATCATCACGGATACCCCTGAAGTACCTACTTTCCAGTCGCAGAAACTAACCAAAGGCAGCTGGGACCATAGAGTGGAAGCCCTTAACCCCTCTTGCTCTGTGGCATCTGCTCTCATCTAAAGGCAGACAGTGCAGCTTCAGGACAGAGTGACTGTCACAGTGGCAGTAGGGTGGAAAGTGGGGAGCCTTGGCCTTGCAGGGATGGCCATTCAGAGGGTTGTGCAACCAGCGAGGGAACCTAGCCACCCAGGAAGCCAAAGATAAGTGCGACGCCAGCAGGCAGGCAGCTCCCTTGGAGGCGGTCAGCTGCACCAGGAGCCTCTGGAGCCCCTGCCGTGCCACCACTTGCTAGTGCATGTTGGACAGCAGCTTTCTGGGAGTCTGGGGCCAACATTTTTACCACAGTGTAACTGCAGTGACAACAGCAGTCACCCAGGCACATCTGTCACAGGGCCTAGTGTTGGGGAGGCAGTTTTCCACTGTGTGAGCCCTTGGACACCACCCACGTGATTGAGGACTCTGTGCCATGCCCTGGTGCTGAATGTGCATGATCTCATCCAATACTCTGCTAACTCCATTGCACAGGGTGGGGAGACAAGGCACAGAGAGAGGGCTAGGTCTCAAATCCTGTGTGGTTCCAGGAAATCCTGAGCTCTTAACCACTCAGGCCACCCTGCATCAGAGGTAGAGCTGAGACTGGCCTGCCCAGGCCACTGCATGTGCCACAGCTGCCTCTGTCTTACAGGTGTGGGGCTGTGTGTAATGCACTCCTGCAAGAGCATCTATTCACACAGTCCATTGTGTTACAAACATTCTTCACTGCAGCAACTAGGAAACAGTTTGGGAAAGCCATTACCTTTGCTGTTCCTTCCTGGTAGCCCGCGTGCTCCAGATCAGCCATAGTCCGATGGCAGGATTTCTTCTTTAAGCTGTGGCTTCTTCGGACAGATGGGTAGGTGTGTCAATAAGAGGTTTTCCTGGAAAAACCCAGACTCACGTTCACCCAACAGCAACCTTGAAGGACAAGGCCAGGCACGTCTGGCAGAAGAGCGGCCTGCTCTCTATTAACAGGAGAGTACGCAGGCACGGGCACTGTGGGTCTAAAATCTTCCACTCCTACCTTTCTTCTCCACTTGCATGTCCTTACCCTTTGGGTCCACCCTGAAAGCTCAGATTGTAGACTCCAGGCTACATAAAAGAGAGAGGTTCACGAAGAGTGGCCCCAGACTTGCTAACTCAGAAACTCTGGCGGCACCCTGCAATCTGTATTTTGACCAGCTCTCCATGATTCTGATGCAGGCTAAAGTTTGAGAACTACTGATGTATATGAACAGGAAAGAACATTCTCTCACTGAAAGTCACACAGACTCTCAAGGGTCCAAGGCAGAGGGATGGAAAGCCATGGGAGGGGTCTATATCAGAAAGTGCTGGGCATAGGCAGGAGTGATGGGCACACTTTTGGTGCTCCAGCTGGCAGGGCATGGGCCAGAGCCACTCACTGTGTGTACCTGCCTAATGCCACATCTCACCCAGCTTGGGCCAGATGTAGCTAAGTGTTGGTGATGCAGTGGCCTGGGCGGTAGCTACCAGGTGGCATTATGTCCAGCTCAGGTGGGGCTGGGCAGCCACAAAAGGAAACATGCTGTGGGTACCAGGCCACACAACACACTGCCATTCCAGGCAGTTCCACAGGCCCTCACCTCAGCCCAGCTTACCTGTGCAGGTGTGAGGCCAGGACAGGTAGGAGGGCACCCTCACTGGAGGGAGCTGACGGAGCATGGTCCCAGGCTTCACGTTCACAGAGCAGCTCCTCTCAGTCCCGCTCACCCAGGTCAAGTCCACAGACTGGCCTCTGTCCACTCGGAGCCCTTGGAGTTCCTTGGCCTGAGTGCAGGCCACAGCTGGAAGCAGCTGCACAGCTAGGAAGACACCCCCCAAAATGGAAGGTCTAGTCTACCTCCTCAGGTGATTCCCAACATGGATCTTGCTCTGGATAACCCATCCTCTGCTCCTTGACTCCTGTGAAAATAGTCAAGGCAGCAGTGCCAGATGTGGTCAGAACATCTGCTTCCCAGGCCAAGCTTTCAGATTTGCAAGTGGGCCTGGGTGCCAGGGGACGACCTGCCCACTCCCTGCAAAGCCCTTCCTTAACTGGCCCCGCACCCTCTATTATGGCTCATCTGTTGGTCGGGAGCCTCCAGTGTCTCCTCGGGGAGGCTATGCACATCTGATGACCCTCTCCTGGCCAGAGCGGCTCTGAAGTGCTGAACCGTTCTCCATAGCAGTGGCACTGTGTGCACTGGCAGCTCCATAGGGGCGCTGTGTGGCTGAGGAGGAGCACCTGTGTGTGAGGGAAGCCCAGCCCACAGGCTGGGGACATACCCAGGGATGACACCCCTTGTCCTCTAAGAATGAGCTCCTTTCCTGAAGCATCCAGAAGTTCTAAGCTCTTTATCATTGAGCTGGGTGAAGCCATGTTTGACCAAAAGCAAGTGGGTTTTCTCCTGTGGCTGTGGCATGTGCTGAGCACTGAGGGCAGTGGGATGTGCATGGCTCTGCAAGCGACCAGCCAGGTGCTTCAAACCTCACAGGCACGGAGCGAGTGAGACTAGTGTGTTGTAACAAATTCTCACCTTACACGTTTGAAAACCTCTCCTCCTGGTGGCAGATACCCACCTGAAGGACAGTACCAGCACAGATAGGCAGGTTGGCCCAGCACCTCGCAAGCCAACATGTCCACAGGCTCAGCAGGCAGATTGTAGATCTGCCAATGAACAAAGAAATCCCCATGAAAAATGGCCCCAAACTCTCACCCTCAGTGTCCTTAACTGAAGATTAGGATCAGTTAAGGGATTCGAATCCAGGGCCACTGGTTCCAAACCCTGGTTATTTCCAGTGGACCAGGCAAGCTGCTGCGTTCCTGCCACTCCCCTCCCAGGTCCCCTGGGTTATGCATGTACCATGCTGACCAGGAACAGCCTCAGGAACACTGTATAGAGCAATGAGTGCCAGCCTTCCCAGTCCTGACTCCAGGTGCTTAAGTTCTGAGCACCTGCCTTCAAAAGTTGACACAGACATTTACTTTTAAATGGAAACATGGATTCAGATACATTTGGCTTGGAGACTTGGATGATATCCCTGAGCTAAGGAGCCCACTTGACCCAGAGATCTTCCTCTGCACCCACAGCTCCCTGACACCCTGGCCTTTGGAGTGGTATAAGCTGGTGTGTAGTAGGGGTGGATTCCTGGCTAGGAGCCCCTGCACCCATGAAATCCAAAGGCTGGTGCAAAGGGTGTGACCCTTCTATGTGAGTGGATGAGGTCAGCACCTTCGCAGAGAACCTCCAGCCTCCAGTCATCCCCTGGGGCTGACACCCACCGGGAGCATTGAGGGCCTGGGCTGTGGCTCAAGCCCCATGCTAGTCATAGGGACGATGGGCAGAGGAAATGTAGGAGCTCACACTGCGCTTGGGGGACTTTTAACACACACCACCAGACACTATCCTGTCTGCTTGCTGGATGCCTTCTCCAAAGGCACTGAGCATACTCTCCTGCAGATCACAGCTCTCTGCCCGGTTGTCCTTTGTCTTGTGAGCACTGGGTTTTCTCACACCTGTGTACAAGCAGCCAGAGGGCTCAGTGGACACTGTGACCCAACATGGGGCGAGCTACAGCAGCCAGCCTCGAGGGCCTCTGAGGGTGGTGACCCCTGGGGAGGGCGGGTCCCATGGCCACCTTGGTTGCTGAGCACGTTTGTTCTCTCCTGTAGGAATGGTTTTCCAAAGCAGACAGCAGCTCAGCTGATTCTGAAGGCCATCTCCAGTTACTTCGTGTCCACAATGTCCTCTTCAATCAAAACAGTGTACTTCGTGCTTTTTGACAGTGAGAGTATAGGCATCTATGTGCAGGAAATGGCCAAGCTGGACGCCAACTAGGCTGAGGAACTACAGAACCAGCCCCTGCCTCCAATTTGAAAGAAAAAACCCTTTCACTCCTACTGGGAGGCGGGAACCTTTTCATTTTCAATTTTGCTCATCTAGGGAAAATAAGGTTTTGGTTTCCAGTTTAATTGTTTTTGACCTTCTAAAATGTTTTTACGTTAGCACTGATAGTTGGCATTACTGTTGTTAAGCACTGTGTTCCAGACCGTGTCTGACTTAGTGTAACCTAGGAGATTTTATAGTTTTATTTTAATGAAGTCCTAATTGACGCAGAGCAATGGGGAGAACAGTGTCTTTTACATGTTGCAGAAGCCAGGAAGCCCCATTTGTAACCGTGTGTTGTGGTGCTTTATTGTACACCCAGTGGCGTTCTTTTTACTCTAATGTTCTTTTATTCTCAGAAGAAAAATCATGAATTTGCAACAGATCTAATTTTTGTTTACTTTTTGTCTTAATGATGGATTTGAAAATGAAAGATTTAAAAAGCAGAACAGAATCTGTTGTCCTTAATTATATTTGCAATTTGGAATTTGTGTGAATTGATTTAGTAAAATGTTAAACAGTTGTGACTGGCGTGTTGCAAGTTATTGTTCCCATGAGTCCTAAGTTAGCTTCTCTAGTCACACGATGCGGGGGGCAGGGTATCCTACCCCAGGAGACTCCATGGTGGCCAATGCATC